TGCGTCGTTTGGTGCCTCATAAGAAGAATTTTACGACGAACGGAAACAAGATTGAACTTTTAATCATCCCTACTGCAGAAATTGCCGGAATTGGCCCATGAAATTAAAATCTTCTTTATTAGTAATTACTAAATATATAGCGTAATAAAAATACGATAAATTCTGTTATACAAACATTGGAAGAGTTGTTGTATAGAGGGAATAGATATTAAATAAATCTATGTTTTTGTAAAAGTATTTATATTTCAATATTTTATCGTTTATCGATTATTTTATACACAAATAATTTTTTTTCCTAAATTTTGAAGATATTTTATAAATGTTTTCCACATATATAATTTCATAAAGAATTAAAATTATGACAATCTTAATTTTTATTTCATAAAATTAAGATTACAATAAAATATTAGATATACATAGTAATATTATCTAAATAATATTACTGTATATATTTAATTAATAAAATATAGTGATTATTTTATAAAATTAGAAAATCTGATTTTATATACAAAAATATTTACCCTTTTTGTTTCATATATACATATAATTCATATCGTTATTGTTATCGAAATATTAGAATATTTAAAATTTAAATATACATATAAATTGCATCTAAATATCTTTTAAAGAGATGAGTTGCGTATTATTTAGGATGGACTGATCTCCAAGAATAAGTATCTCTAACGAATATCTCTAATACCAGCGTATCTCTAAAATAATTTCGCAATATCGTCGAGACAAATGTCTGTGCTTTCTTCATACAATTAATATCTATAGGTACTAATTAAAGGCACTAAATTTTCTATAAGGCAACGCGATTGTTTTATATATCATTTAGTTTCTCCTTTTCTTTCTCATGTACTTGATTCATCGTGATATCGTGGTTGCTCGCGGCGATTTTCGCACCCCTGCCTAGACAGGTGGTGAAGCAGGTGTCGCCCTTGCCAAAGTTCTCGCCGTCTTCAATGGATTCTGGCATCGGTTGGTTCAGCGTTTCTGGCAGGTAGAAAGCCAAGAAGCCCGCCACGAGGGCGATGAGACCGAAGAGTACGGCGGGTATTCGCGGGTCCAGCGAGTCCAACAGGAAGATCATGGGGGTGAGAGCGCCGCTGAGACGCGCGCACATGGAGCCGATTCCGAGGGCCGTGTTCCTCACCACCGTGGGGAACAGCTCGGCCGTGTAGTTGTACACCACGGCGAACGAGCCGGCGATGCAGGCTTTACCCACGAGGACTATCGTGACCGTGGCTATGGCTACCAGCGAGCTGGTTGCACCGGTGATGGCGGCAGCGCAGACGCAGCATAAGCCGCCCATCATCATGAACGAGCTGACCAGGCATCTCCTACCGACGCGGTCCATGGTGAATATTATAAAGATGTACGCTGGTATCTCTAGCACGCCGCTGAGAAACAGCATGAAGAACGGATTGCCGACGAGATTGCCCGTGTTGAGCGCCAGTCCGTAATAGGCGATCGAGTTGGCGAACCAGTTGAGACAGATGTTCAGGCTCTTCCTGCGAAGATTCGGCGTCCTGAAGAGATCCAGCGCGCCGTACGATTTATCCTCCTTGATCTCTTGCTGCGCCTTCGACCTGCTGATTAATCTGGCGGCGTCGATCTGGACGTTCTTGCCGTTCACCTTCAAGCCCTTCTGCACGATGACGATCGCTTCGGCGGCACGACCGTGCGCCCACAACCATCTGGGTGATTCGTCCATCAGCCACCAGTGGCCGAGTAGGATTGCGCTATGCAGACCGTACACGATCTGCAGCCACATGCGATCCTTAAGCACAGCGCCCCACAAGGCCACCAACATGAAACCGGCGGCGAAGGCCAATTGGAACAATATGCCACATACAGTCCTTCTGGACGGGCCCACCAGCTCCATCGTCAGCACGAATCCGGTGATGTACGCACCGGCGGAGCCGAAGATACCATAGAGGAAACGTAGAACTAGGAAAACGTAGTAGTTGTTCACGAAGGCGACCAATACTCCGAGCAATAGCTGCGCCACGGCGGATACGTAGAATATGATCTTCCTGCCGTACTTGTCTGCCATGCTACCAAGAGTGACGGCGCCCATAAACACGCCGAGCATGTAAGAGGACTGTGCCACGGCGCCCATCCAACGTCTTGAGCAAACGAAATTCCACTCCATACCGCGCGATGACTGGAAATACGTTGTGTCATAGGTCCACGAAGTGCATTCCTGGGTGACGTTGTCGCGATCCAGGTAGTGGCAATTGTCGAGACGACGTGGGAGATGGTCCATGATCGAAGAAGTATTCCAGTCTTGAATGGTCGAATCGAACATGTCCTTGGTCAGGACCGATGCGTTCGTTTCCGGGATATCGCAACGATGTGACGGTACCGCTGCGACCGTTAATAGAGACAACATGTGCAGACCGGCCGTAATGGTGGCGAGTAAGTGAAGGCAGTACTGTCTGAACTGATATTTGCCAAATTCTCCCAAATGGGACATGAGCTCCTCGAGATCTTTATCCACGCTTGCCATTTCGCCTGTTTCGCCGCAGGGACTGCAGTTAGGAAATTTATCTGGATATTCTACTCGATAACGTGGCTATTTAAATTACTGATCGTCTTCGAGTTAGGTGTCATGTATGTTTATGCTGAAAGGATATTTGTAAATGTAAATTATTCAGTGTCATTTGAATTGCGAAGATAAAAGGTTGCGGATTTCCATTATATCTTACTTATTGTTAGACATTATTACATTAATTTTTATCTGAATAAATAAATGAAATAAAATTTCTGTTCTTAAATAGAATGGAAATCTCGCTTAGAAATATTTATTTAAAATTAATACATAGATATAATAATTTCTATCCATTTATCAAATAAAAGGACAATTGAAAATTTAAGTATTACTGTTGTTTTACGAATATATTTTTACAAATTATGTTAAATAATACTCGAGAAATTTAAATTTAAAGATATATAATTTTATAATTCAAGTTCTTAAATAATAATTAAATACTTAATAAACGTCATTTTCTTAGATAATATAATAATTATATATATTATTTTATTATATTAATATAATAATTATATTTTACTTTTGTTATTAAACAAAATTTTTATTATTTATATTAGAAGTACCAAGTTCTTGTTAATGCAATTATTAAGAAAAAATTATAATTTAATTATAATAATTATTTACATATAATGTTTAAAAAATTTAATCACATATCTATCACGTGTATAATTCAAGAATTATTTTCTCTTTCTGTATGCTGTCACAATCATATTGCAAGTTATATCTGACCTTTTTGCATGACGTATTTTGCAGCAAAGTGCTGATATCCACACTTTTATTGCATTATAAATTGAAAACTTATTCTGTTAAACAATTTAAAAAATTGTATCATTTTCTTCTTTGTACAATAGAAATTAAATTTTTCAATAATTTTGCGAGAAAGTATTTTGCATATGTATTATTAAAATATCTATATAAAAAAATAAAAATAGAAATAAATCGCTGTAACAATTGCCAAATGTGAAGTTATATATAGAATTTAATCAATTATCATCGGAAATCGAATTCATTTATCAAACGCACATCGTAGATTAAGCTTTAAGCACTACGAAATTCATCGCCGCCGTATACAAAAAGGGCGGTACCTCGATTTTGGTGGCTGTAATTATGCTGCGCACGACAAGTAACATTCACTCGATCACAACAGGATATTCAGAACGAATGACAGGCGGATAGCTCATGTGTCGATGATCGATTGATCTGCCGGTGCATTGGTCTCGATCGCGAAGTGTGGGAGAGCGACTGCGCGAAGGCTCCACCGCCTCCAAATGTCTCGGGCGAGCTGAGGAGAACGACTGGTTTTCCGCTCGCTAACTCGAATCTAGGAGATTGGACGATTCCTCCGAGCAGACTTTGTGGTACTTAACGAAATTTGCGGCCGCCCTTGCACGCGACATCGTGCTTACAATCGTCACTCGCGATCGTCACTCGCGTAAGTTGTTCAACTTCTTCCGCGTGAATTCCCTTCCCGAACCGGTAAATTCCGCTCTGCATGCTCTCCGTGACGTCTGCCGTCCCCGGGAAAAAGAGTTTTGCGCCAGACGTTGATTGCGTTATCAGTCACTAGCAACCATATTCGAGAATCTATAAATAGTTGTTGCAAAAGTCTAAGAATTATTAATAATAAACACACATGACTCTGCGGTCAGGGCATGTATTTACAAGTGCGATTAATATATCAGATTTCCGTCTAGGAAATTTCCTAATAGGACAAGTAGCCTTCCTATTACATTTTATTTCATACTCGACTAAATAGTCTTCTTACTGCATTTCTTACCGCATCTCAATCATTTCGAATAGAGATTTCGAAAGAAGATTTTATAATCATAAAAAGAAAAACTATCATAATTTTGCTCAGGTCCGGTTAAAGATCATGGAAAATTATTACATTGAAATTAAAAATAAATTATATATAAATTACAGGTATGAAATATATATATCCTAGATGAATAATGTTTGATGTAATAATTTATATTTTCTTCTCTCAGTAATAAATTATTTAAATGTAGAGAAACACTTGCGGTTTCAATTTGTCGGATAAACCAGATTCCTTATCGTTCGTGTGTTACTCTATCGCTATACTGATATGCTTGCAAACTCGGTAGTTTCGAGAGTGTGTTACGGATGGTATTGATCGATGATAGCAGTTATTTTCGATACTCAAATAATAGCACGTATACGCGATCATTGGAGCGTGACGATATCACATATTATCACATATTTCTTTACGTATAGATCTGTCGGAACTGGCGGACATTTCACTTTAATAAACGCCTACTTTTTGCGCCGAGATCAGATCTTTGAGTAATATCTGGGTATCGAAATTCATGGGCTAAGAAAGAGAAAGGAATAAATTTTTTGTAGTATTATGAAATTACTTTCCTAAAGAGAAAACAGATCGTTAAATGCTAGGCAAGGAGCTGAATTAATTTTGGAAATAAATATTTTGCGAAAATATGATAAAAATGAATAAGATAAAAATGTAGCAATTACTAGAACTCGATAATTATTATAGATGTTGTCTAACTATGAAAAATATTCTTATTATATATTAACCAATATATTAACCAATGCGTACAAAAAAATTCTATGAAACTAGTTAATTTCCTAACATTGGAATTAGCCTCATTTAATTATAATTATCTTGATCTATGAAAAATTATGCAGAGAATTGTATATTGGAATACTCAATCCCGTCAACCTCGACAATGCGCTAGAAAAACAATTTAGTTAATACGAACAATTATACAATTTAGTTATTACGAAATTTTTGTTTTATATTTGATGTAAAATTTTAATAATTACGTAAGATTTGTGATAAATAAAATTAGAGAATAAGAAAAGAAAGAATACATTAAATTTGTTAGTGGAGCAAAATAATTTGCAGATTTAACATAAATATTTGAATAAATTAAATTAGTCCTCTCAACTAATCTTTTTATTATCCGTATTATAACTGACAAAAATTACTACAATTGCTGAATATTTGCTGTAATAGCAAATCTTTTTTTCACCGCATTCGCGATCTTACGGTTTCTCACAGTTTGAGACTTATTTTGTCATTTTGTTACGTTTTCACAAAAACATCTTTATTCACAGCGATATCGTAGAAAATTAATCTTACTGTCATTATCATAAATCCATCATTACCAAAGGTTTGATATCTCCGGTAATCGCGCGCGACTGAGATAACGCAAATCTTGTTTTGAAAAATCTCGCGTTGCGTAATTGTACATTTTATTATTTTCCATTCTAGCATTTAATCGATATTTAATAAAATAATTTCGATTGACGTCTGAGATTTGTTTCAAATATTAATACAATATTTTCTCCAAATTTCTAAACTTTGAACATTGCATCTCTGCTTGTATCTTTTTCATATTTTAAAACGATCGAACAATTTTTCATCATGGTCAACAATTTTCTCACTGTCACCATTAATATCACTGCATTGCTTCTTGTCGAACTTCTTGCGGCACATTGCTTCGTGATGGAATCACGTCTGTATTTCTTAACAGTCTGCGTCGAAGCTGATAACCGGCCATGCCAATGAACTCGAATGCAGACGCGGGGTACACCGAACTCCACAGCGATTAATTGATCTCTAATAATTAACTTTATTGTTTTGGTCATTTAACTGTCATTAACGATAACACACATACGTGCAACATGTCGATCGGTTGACTTTAAGTAACATGTTTGGCACGTTGAGTGATCCCCGGCGAGCTTGATGTTACTTCGAATTTCTTAGAGCGTCATTGTCCACCTACTTCAATTAAGCTTTGTGCTTTGTGCCTTTTGTCCTTGACCTTACTATATTATCACTATAGCGAGGTGATAATTGCCAGTGACAATTGTCGCCGTGACGTGTGCTTTCGCTCCGAAAAACGTGTCAGTCATGTAAAATATGATCAATGGATAAATTATTTATTAATCAATGTTCCAAATGGTCAAAGTCCACCTTGTGTGCCGGTAAATTGATCGGTAATTGCGAATATCCATCTGCAACTTGTCCGCGAATCCGAAATGCGTTTTCGAAGTTACACGGAAAAACAACAACTGCGATCGATCTTGCGTTGACTATTTGTGTTTTTTTTTCTGTATGCAAACGTCGCTATCGATCAATAATTTATGTTAAGTCTAGGTAGTCGTTATTTCAACATGTCTTTGTGAATACATTAGAACAGCTCGCCTTGCCTTTAATTGCAATATTTCTTGCGCATAGTGTTCAACGTGGCGTATCAATATAATCATCGATGAAGGGGAAAATTACTGCTGAGGCGTGAATCGTTTTTATTCACGGGAGGCGAGAACAAAATTTCAAGATGTTTGTAATTTGTGCCAGTAACATACACAGCGACAAATACGATGGTCTGCGTCGTGTACAATCGGCAATATATCCGATGATATCGATCGAGAGACTAACGTATCGCCCTGTTACTTCGTTCAGCAAAATCGAGTTCCAAGGTGATATCGCGTCGCAATCTCAATCGACATTTTCCTGATTCAATTGAATATAAATTAAAAGTTTTAGATGCTAATTGTAGATATGCTTAAAGTGTTGCGCTTGTACCCGTCACGGCCATAGCTAACTCATGTAATATTAATTATGCAAGCACGTAAGTATTGCATATAAAAATATACGTAATATACTTCTCGGTAGTTATAAATATATCAATTATTAATATCTAATATGATATAAATATATCAATTATTAATATCTGAGGCAGATATTAATAATTGATATATTTAAGTACTCATTATCATACAAACATATTTGTATTAAAGCTTGTATTAAATTAAAATAAATAAGTTATTTATGAAATATCATATTGTATGATATTATTAATAAAGCCTACAAATTTACTTTTATCACAATAATTTTTGCCACGTGCAAGTATACTGCTGAAAAAATATAGCGCTCGTTTGACATTTTAGGATAAAAGAGAAACGACTTAAAAATAGATTTTTATCATGTTTAAGACGTGATACTTTAAGAAATAACCGTGTGGGATGCGCTAATTTCGTAATGATATTGCGTAACATTTTGACGCGTTGAAGTGTTACGAAGTGACATTCAACATGCGCAACTTGTATAATCAGAATATTTAACATCTCGACGTCTGGTAGACGAGCGTTACGTTCATTGTTAATAATTATTCGCGCATGTATATATACATTTTGGTGTAATTACATTGTTATTCTTTAGTTATCACTGTCAATCATAAATCAACGAGACACAGGCAATTCGAGCTTTATTCCGATAATGTTTTATTAGGCGCCGCCATGCAATAACGTTCTTATCGGATTTCTTGTTCCTGGCGCCAACTAAAGTGTATCGGGAATAAAGAATAATTGCATTACGAAAATAAAATTTTCTTTTAAGACGTGCAAACGTATTCGATAAAATGCGCAATATTTTAATATTCTATTACTTTCTTACTTTTCATAAAATTTCACAATTTACCTTATACATATTTATAGAAATCTATTTTCTAAATAAGTACAGAAATATATATTATTAATAAAAGGTGACAAAATTAAAATCTTAATAATATATAAATTAATATAAATTAAAATATTTACTAATAATTACTAACTTCTTATTTTGTTTGACAACATAATCAAAAATTTTCACAAACAATAGCGAGAAACGTGGCCAATATCTCGGCAAGCAGGATCTAAATCTCTATATAAATAAATTTTAAATAAAATTTAA